CCTGCGCTGGCGATTTTGAAAGAGGACCCTTCGCCTTTTACCCCCCTCCCCCTCCCCCATCTTACCCCCTTCGGCCACCCCTCCCACTTCCCCCTTCCCCTTCCCTAGCAGCTTGGTTGATAAAGGCCGGTGGGGCATTACTCGAAACCCCAATTACAGTGGAGGGCCGGCCTCCTCGTGAGGGCCCTAAGCCTGGACAGCCTGGACGGCCCGGACGGCCCGGACGGCCTGGACCGTGGTCAAGTGTGCATTACGGTCGTGACGCGGGACACGCCCGTTCCAGTGCCGTTCCAGTGCCGTTCCAGTGGACTTCCAGTGCCGTTCCAGTGGACTTCCAGTGCCGTTCCAGTGGACGTGGTAACCATGACTATCGACTGCTTTGATACATTAAAACTTAGCCTGGATATTTTCATAAAGTGACAGCTATTTTCTTGGCAACTCGCGTTCTCCATCCCAAGGCCAGCCAATTGGGCAACGTGCCTGTCCACCCGACCTGTTCCTGTCGGTCGGCAGCAAGTCGACAAGTCAGTGTCGTGTTCCAGCGCCCTTTTTTACCTCGCAAACTGACAGAGGCACGCCGAAAAAAAATATGGCCGAGGGACATAATGCTCGTTCGGGGATCGAACTGAGGATCCTGTTCTCCGCAGTGAGGGACGATGGCCGCTCGGCCGAGGCGAGGCGAGGCGTGCGGTGCGCGGCCGCCTCCGTGACCTGCCGCTCCGGCGGCGCAAGGTGGGGAGGCGGAGGGTGGAGGGGGAGGGTGGCGCGGACTTGCGCTTGCGGTCGGCCTGGCGGGGTGGGGCAGGTTTGGGTTTTGCTTAGGGGGTGGCGAGGCTCAGGCGAGGCTCTGGCGAGGGCGAGGGTACCCCAACGAAGAGTGAAGGCTTGCGGCCCAGCCCGCCCGGCCGGGCGGCCTCCAGGGCCTCCAGGGCCTGCAGGGCTCCCGTCCGTCGTCCGTCCCTCGGGACCGCTTGGCCATGGCTGGGCTGGGCCGGGCTGGGCCGCTAGATGCGTCCTTCTTTAACGCACCCCTCCGACGACCCTTCCGTTCCGGCCAGCACCCCCCCCGCCCCGCCCCGCCCCGCCCCGCCCGCGCGGCCCGCACGTGTGCGACCGCCATGATGAGGCACTCCGTCTTGTCCTGCAGGGCCATGGCTGGGCCATGCTGGGCCGCAGGATGGACAGGGTCGTTAGCCAGGACGAATGCGCGCCGCGTCGCGTGGCGGTCGAACGGCGCCCGGACCACGACGACCACGTCGTTAGCATGACCCAGAGGCCAGAGGTATCGCCGTTCGCTTCGCCGTCTCCCTCGCACTCACGGGCCGCCGGCCGGGCAAACTAGAAGTGCGCGGGAGACAGACACAGCGACGCCACACTGGCTTGGAGCTGCTGCACCCGTGTCCACCTGGTCTACCATGTCGCGCGCTGAGCCGTCGCGTCGTCCGCTGCCACGCGCCACACTGCCGGCTAAACGGATTCCAGCAATTGTTATTTTGGCTCCGCTCTCGCGCTAAATATAGCAAGGAGAGGGGCGTCCTGCACGCTCCCGATGACCGCTGCTGTCGGGGCGAGGCCGCCGAGGCCGGCGAGGCTGTCACGGGCACCGCGCCGACACCGCGCCAGGTCGCCGGGTCGCGGATGAATCTTGCAGTGCGCCGGGCGTGCCTGGCGCACAGTGCAGTGACTGCGACACGACTGTCCACTCAGCTGCCCGCCCTCGTTCGCCGTTCACCGAGGGCCACAAGGGCTCCGGCGCGCGGCGCGCCAAACCGCCGTGACAAAAAGGGAAAGTTGGGGCATAAGGTGCAGGGTGCCCTGCGCGTGTTGGCCGTGTTGGCGTCGGGCGCCACAAAGTACACCGTGCGGCTGGCGGGCTGGGCCCGGCGGGCCACATGTGTCGGCCCTGGGCGGCCCTGGGCGGCCTGGCCGTGATGAGGCGAGCCCTCCTTGGCATGCCGTCGGCGTGCGGGGAGGGGGACCTGCACGGCGATAGCGCACCCCGCCCCACCCCGCCCCGCCCCGCCCCGCCCCCCCGCCGCACGGCCTTCCTGAGATCTCGACCTCCAGATCTCCCTTCCGCCGGGACCCCCGCCCGGGCCTCCCCGCCCCGCATCTCGCACGGATGAACCATGGGGCGCACCTGCCCCAGAGCCCCAGCCCCAGCAGCCAGCCCCAGGAAGGGCCGCAAAGGGCGCGGCGGGGCGCGGGGCCTTGCGCGGGGCAGGTCAAGGTACGGGCAATGTCGGCCAGACACGCGTATGGCGGCTTGAAGAACACGGTGCACGACGTTTGGCGCCGCGCCCCGCCCCGGGCGATGGTCTCGAAATGTGTTGTGGCTTTGAGGCCGCGTCGAACCCCCGACCATCGCCCCGCCCCGCGCCGCGCCCGCCCTGCCCCACCGCGCACCGCAGATATAAATGGTCAAAGTTTCACCATCGCGATACCGACCTCATCTGTTTTTGCCCGCGGCGTGGCGGCGCGGCGCGGCGGGCGGGCTTCGCCATGGCTTGGCCGCTGCCGCACATCCACCTATCTCCCGCAACGAGACCGCCGCGGATGTTCCATGAGGGGGGGGGAGGGGGGGTTCGCCCGACTCGACGCCAGAGCCGCGAGAGCCCCCCGGACAGAGCGTCTCCTTATTAACGCGGCAGTCCACCACGATGACCATCATTCTCATCACCGTGGTAGTCCCGCGGTGGTACCGTGGTAGTCGCTCCGGCGGCGGCGGCCTGTCCAGGGCAATATCTTGGTGTCTGCGGCCGGCGCGGCCGGCCAGCGCCAGTGTGGACCCACAAATCCTCATATCCGTGAGGTGGACTCGTATATCATGGCGGCCTCTGTCTGGATCGGTAACTGCCCCGTCCAGGCCGCGTCCAGGCCTCGGCCCGCGGGGCCAGGTCGGGGTCGGCCAAAACTCTGCGCGGTTTGGCTCCAGGTCGCTAAATGGGACTCGAATCGACGGGCCCCACCAATGGATTCCTCGGGGCTTCGGGGCTCGGCCATGGTCGGCCACGCGGCCTCGGGCCGCTCAGGCTCTCGGCCCGTCTGAGTTTGGCGCCTCCCCGGCTCTGGCCCCGTGCCGCGGGGCTTCGGGGCTCGGCCAGGCCTCGGCCTCGCCGCCGGATGGCCGGGGCCGGGGCAGTGCCGAGGCCGGCGCGGCGCCGAGGCCGTGCCCGGCGATATTGCGGCCAGAGCCCCGCGGCGGAGCGGAGATGGCCAAGAATGCCGAGACCACGGCTTATGGCTGCACCCCCACCACCGTATGTGTGCTCGAGGCATCGCGAATCGTGCCCAGCCAGAAGCGGATTCGTCGAAACGCATTTCGATATCGAAAGATAGACGGAAAATTTCGATCGTATCGGAAACCTATTTTGAAAATCGAGAGTGAAGGAGGCTCTGTTTCGACTCGTCGGTGAGTGGGATGATTGAACAACACGTTCGTACCGCGTCAACCGAGCTACCAATTTTCCGATCGGCAGCAACAGCCCAATCTTGTACTCACTCCCTCCAAGCTTAAGGGACACCCACTATGGTATTCGGCCCGTCAGCCCAAAGTCAGCGAAAACTCCCAGTGGGTCGGCCTGGCCTGCCAGGGTATACAGCAATTCGCGCGGCGTGCACGCCCCCTAGCTTGTCGCCAGCGCTGAGCGGACCAAACTGCGAGTTTAAATTCGGCCCCAGACGCCCCGCCCCGCCGCCCGGCCGTTCCACCGCTCGGTCCATGTCCGCCTAACTTTCCGCGGCTCAGCTCGGCTCAGCGCAGCCCAAAGGAGGATGATGCGACGATGCGGCCAGTGGGCGGTCGCTCGGGGCGCTGGCCGAGAGTGCCAACTTGACAAAAAAATTCCCAATCACGGGCGGCCAAACCTCGTCAACGTGGATCGTCGTCAGAAGCGAGATGCAAAAGAGAAAGCAACGTTCGGATGCTGTTATTTTAAAATTAAGTCATCCCCGTCGCATTCACGACCAGATTTGTAGTTTTTGTTTTCGTAAGTTGGCACTCCCTGCTCTCCGCCCCCGCGGCGGCCAAGGATCGGGCCGCATCCCTGCAGGGCGCTGCAACGCGGAGGGGGTGGCACACTGGAAGCCTGGAACGCTGGAAGGGCGACCCTCGCAGTAGGACATTGTGTCGCTCCCCGGGGAACGCTACGCACGCGTGCGGGGCAGTGGGGGGGGGGTGGGACGGGAGGGGAGGCCCCTCTTGGGGACGCACGGCCAACATAAGGCCGTCCGCTACACGGCCGCCAAAGTAAAAATTTGAAAAGCCGGCCGAGTTTCCTGTTGCCGAGCGGCCGAGATGAAAACTATAGGCCTCGCCCCTAGCCTCGCTTCGCCCGATCCGCGGCCCCGTTCCCGTTAACGGACAGACGTTAACAGGCGCGCCCCCTTTCGCCTTTTCGTCCCGACTCAAACTTGTAATTTGATCCCTCAATAAGGAATGGGGGCGAGCCTGCCTGCAGCCGAGCGGAGCCGCGGGCCGAGCCGAGCACGGCCGCGAAGCAGCAGCCCTTCTAGGCCGGGCCGGGCCGAGCCGGGCAGGGCTGAGCGCGCTCCCAGTCGTGGCCGTCTCGGGAATTTCCTCGGTAATTGGACATCGTGCTTTGAGCTGTGCCGCTGTCGCACTCCGTCAAGGCCGGCCCGGCACGCCACGCCGACCGGAAGTCGTGCCCTCTCATTTCCGGTGGAGGCGATCGACTAATAATCATGGCTGGCGCGACGCCGGGCCGGGGTCGCTGCGTGACCCCGACGCCCACACAGTGGGCAGGAAGAGCGGCGCAGGTGGACAAAACTCCAGACGCGTTTTGAGCTCCAGAGTCGCTAAACAGGACTCGAACCGAACGTGTGACCCCACCAATGGATGCCTCGTTCGGAGAGCAATCCATTGATGGGGTCACACGTTCGGTTCGAGTCCTATTTGGCGACTCTGGAACTCAAAACGCGTTTAGAGTTTTTTGGCCGCCGCAGATGAGCCCGCTGGTGACGGTGGCACGACCACTTACCTTTCTCACAGTAGGTGCCCTCGAAGTCCAGGTTCCTGCACTCGCAGATGGGCCCGCTGTCCGTGGAGATGCAGATGCCACCGTGCTGGCACGGGTCGCGCTCCTCGCACGCGTCCGTCGCGTTGCCGCGCAGCCCCTGGACAACAAGAGCAACAACAAGAGCGTTATCGGCCCGTTCCGTTTGCACACGCAAAGCCCGTGTATAGCAGTGCCGCGGCCCTGTCCCAATGGTTCCAATGGTTCCAATGCACCGCGCCAATGTCCGATCGCGAGCACGGCAGCGCCATGGCCGCGCGCGGTGGTGCCGATAACGCGGACCTGCAGCTGGCGCGCAAAAACGGATCTCTCTCTCTTCTCTCTCTCTCTCTCTCTCTCTCTCTCTCTCTCTCTCTCTCTCCTCTCTCCGCCACCCGCTGCTCGTTTCAATAAACAAGTCGAGGTATTTTTGTTGTTGGGTAGCTCCATTTTTGTTTTGACACAACAGAGTTGGTTGACAACGAGGTGCGCTCAATACTCGGCGCCCGATTGTGTGGCGGAATGAAATGGAATGAAAGGCAGCGGGCGCAGCGCAGCGGACCGACCGCGCAATTTTAGCAGGACTGTCCCCAACAAAGCGGGACTCGACTCGAGCACGACACCGTTGGATTCGTCGTTCCAAGAGCAATCCAGTGGTACTCTCATGCGTTCGACGCAAGCCCCACTTGAAGGCAGTCGGGTTCAAAATCTGTCCAGAATTGCGAGTCGTCCTCGCCCCTGCAGACTGAATCAGAGTCATTTTCGTCGCTCTGTCTCTCTCGCACCTATACGGCACGCTGGATGAGCGGGAGAGAGACAGAGCGACGACTCTCGGAATGAGTCTGCTGCAGCGTCCCGGACGCCAATTAGCACCCTTCTAGTCCTCCAGTCCTCCAGTCCGGACCGGACGTCCCGAGTTTCTAGTGGCGTGGCGGTCCTACCGGAGTTTGTCCGGCCCGCTGCGTCCCTGCGTCCCTTGCCCTACAGGTAGGGCGGAACTAGGTCGCCGCGGTCACCAGATCTCTTTATTCAAACAGCAACCCCGCCCCGCCCCGCCCCGCCCCGCCACGCCCCGCCACGCCACGCCACGCCAACCCACCATTTGCATTTTGAATCCCGCTTTTCCCCGCGCCATTCAAGCCGCGCTTACAATGCATTATTATTGTGGCCGCTGCCGGGGTTGGGAGTTTCAAAGGCGGTAAAAGGAGCAACAAACCCCTTGTTAGTTTTGCGGCTGGTCTTCTGTTGTTGACTCTATGTTTGGTTTATTTTAGCACAAATAACAAACCCAGCTTTTTTCACCTGCTTTTTTTCTTTTTGAAAGCCAGGGGCTTTTTCGGAGGCCCATTATCACTTTGGCTGTTTTTCACCTAAGCTCCGCCGCACCGCGACGCTTTTTCACGCGCCTGCTCCGAGGGGCCGGGACCAGGACGCCGGGCCCAGCAGGCCCAGGCCCAGGCCGCAAACAACTCCCGACTGTGCTGGCGCGCGGCCAGCGCAGGCCAACACGTTACAGGCAAACTTTAATTAAAGGGGGAATCGACAGGCGGCGCCGGCGACGCCACCCTCACTTGGCCTCATGGAAATGTGTGCGGCCCCGGCCGGGACTCGAACCGCTAACCTGGCCCGTGGAAACGAAAACGCAGGATAAAATTAAGCCGTAATTATACGACTGGATCGCTCGCTGGATGAGTTAGTGGCCGGGCCTCGGCCGGGCGTCGGCCGGGCCGCCGGGGTGCAGGCTCTGTTATTATGCGATACACGCCACAACTCAGGCACCTCGGGCGGGGCGAGGCGGGGCGGGGCGGAGCGATCTAGGCCCCGCAAGGCGCCCGCCCGGTCGCCTGCCTGACCAGGAGCAGAGCAGGGCCTTGAAGGCCTTGAAGGCAAGGCCATGAATAAGCCAGGCCACCGTGCGGAGGAATTCATCTTCGCCTCCACCTCCCCGTCCACGTCCTGGTGTGTCTCGGCATCCTCCACCTCCTCCTCCAGCTCCTCCTGCTCCTCCTCCTCCACCACCTCCTCCTACCTCCTTGCTGCACCGGCCTCTCTCTCTCTCTCTCTCTTCCTCTCTCTCTCTCTCTCTCTCTCTCTCGCTCTCTTCCGCTTCGATCTCGCCCTAATGACTTCTTACTTATTCAACTGTTTTGCGCAGGGAATGGAGCGGCCCCTCTGTCTGGCGCGCCTCGTGAGAAACGAACCCCCTGTGTCGTGCACCTGCAGCGCGGGCTGAGGGGCACCTCACATCCAAAGGCCAGCGGTGTGTTTGTGTGTGTGAGCTTTGATGTGTGTGTGTCTGTGAAAAGGAGTGAGTGTCATTGTCCTTCTGGGCCGTATCATTATAATTCCAGCCGAAGAAAACATAATGGGGGTTCGTAGTTTAATACGGGTCCTGCCCCCCCCCCCCCCTCGCCCCTTCAAGTTTCCCTGAAATCAGCGCGCCGTTTCTCCTGCAATATTGAACGCGCGTCACGTGAATTTTCCACCAGCCCGCCTCCGCCACCTCCCCCCTCCCCCTTCCCCTGCTCCGCACCGCCCGGCGATCCGACAACGTCGACCCAGTTAAAAAACATGAAAGTCGGTCTGGCCGCTAAAAGGACAACTCGCGCAAAAAGCGCGCGTGTGTGTCGGTTTTCTTTTCAAACGATGCAACCCACCGCACGTCGCGTTTGCCTGCCTCCGGAATCATGGAGCGGAATGGGAAGCGGGGCTGGCGGGGCTGGCAGGCAGCGCGGTTGGCTTTACAGTGCGCGTCCCTTATTGATTTTCACTCCGAGTCTCGTGGCGTCCCGTCGCCGTCCCCGCCTCGCTCCATCATTATTCCCGACGCGGTCCACACGGGGACGCCGGCACGGAACGGGCCGGGACGCCACATTAGCAAGCCGTATGTGAGCAAGGAGGCGAGCGAGAGAGACAGAGGGGAGAGAGAGAGAGAGAGAGAGAGAGAGAGAGAGAGAGAGAGAAAGGGAAGGGGAAGGGAGGAGGACGCGGAACAAGGCCCGTGATTGCGGGTCGGGAATACATTCCCCGTGTGTCGGAGGAGAGGACAGGAAGAGAGGAAGTGGAAAAAAGACGAATCTCTTTAATCGACGCTCTCCACTCGATGGGGCGCATTGGGTCGTTTCCCCCCCTCTTCCTCTCTCTCTCTCTCTCTCTCTCGCCGCGGGGCGCGTCGGTGTTCAATGAGCTGTGGGCCGCACAGTGGGCCAGAAGTAAAGGCAACCGAAGCACTGACGCGCTTACGCTCTACGGACGTCGAATGATGGGAGTCGAATCAAACCGCCACGAGAGTTGGAGTTTGATTCGGGTCCTGTTTAGGAAGTCCACAGCGGTCCGGATGTCACGTCCTTGCCTAGCCTGGCCTGCCGCGCCGCCGAGCCGAGCTTGGCACCTGTCGAGCGACTCCGCCGCCCGCGCTTCGCTCTGTCTCTCTCGCACCTCTACGGCTACTTGCGGCTAACTCCGTGAGTGGGAGAGAGACAGAGCGAGGAGTGTGTGCGGTGGTGTGACAGGCACCAGCACGACAGTCATTGGCCCCGTCGGTGACGTCCACGTCGCGTCCCTCGCGTCCACGTCGACGTGCTCGCGGGTCGATGCATCCTGCAGACTGACGATTCCGAGAGTCGTTTTCGTCGCTCTGTCTCCCTCGCACCTCTAGGGGACGCCCCATGAGAGCGAGCGAGACAGAGCGACGAAAACGACTCTCGGAATCAGTCCGCTGTGCCTGCTTCCGCACGCAGCACGCCACGCGGGAGAACCAAGGGATCGGCCCAGTCCGCGTCTATCCGCTGCTCTCGTCTCTACACAGTAATTACATTTCGGATTCATTTCGCTCGGCCGGCCGACTTCCCCCGTCATTCCTGTTATTTCTGTTATTTTTCGCGTATTTTTGCCGCTTTTCTTTTATTCCCCCGCCTCATCCGCAGTCGCCACGCAGCGGACGCGACGAGCAGCCCGCGCGATGTCAGTTATTGAAATTAAAAGCGAGAGCTCGACTC